TTTAGTGCCCCATCTATCTTGCAGCTTACTGAGGCTGGAACTCTGACTAGAAATGACAGATCACTTCATATGTCACACTTTATTGTTTGTTGGACTTTTATCACATTTCCAGCATCTTTTTTCAAAATCAGCCCAACTCTGAGGTATATGCTTCTAATTTGCATTACAGAAAAATTCTGCCTCTTTTGTTCACTTGGGTATTTCTCCTTGGTTAAATGGATTATTTACAGTGTAGTGGAATCTAGCACTTCAAGCACTGACTTCATATAATTTACTACACATTAGTGTTATTACTGTATTAATAAACTTGTAAAGCCTGGCCTTGATAGTATTTGATTGAAGCTGTTTTTTCTGGAAGTTCCTGACCAAGAAAGTTACAGCTCTTCTCACAATAAAAGTAGGGATAAATTCACTGCATATAGCTATTGACAAAAAACCAAGAATAAAAGCAGAAATATAACATTAAGCATAGGCATGTAGGAGTGGGAAGGGGAGAGAATATTAATTAAGAAACATTACTTGTTTGAGGAAGTATATACTGGGCATTTGAGACTGGAAATTCACATGGGTAAGTCTGGGACTTGTTTGGTGAGAAGGTTGGGAGGAAATGCACAAGCTATTTAGAGTGGGCTGGACAGGTACAACAACACTGCAAAGGGCTGCAGTGGAGGAAAGCCAGAGCCCAGTGAACAGCACATTTGTTTTTATGAAGCTCAGGGTAAAATTTGCTTTCTGGGCTGCATACACACATTGCTGGCTCATATCTAATTTCTGATCCAGCGGTATACCTAGGTCCTTCTCTCCAGGGCTGCTCTCAATCCATTCACCACTAAGCTTGCATTGAAAATGATGACTGCTACAACCCAGGTGTGGACCTTTCACTTAGCATTGTTGAACTTCAGGAGGCTCACACTGGCCCACTTCTTCAGCCTGTGAAGGTTTATCTCTTCCCTCAAGTGTGTGTCAGTTAGGTGAGCAGTGATGCCTTGTGAGACAAAAAAGGGGTTCTTCAACTTCACACCACTAGAACTCATTAGTGATAGACCTAAAACAGATTTAAAGAGCCTACTTGCCATTGTCAGAACTGGAATTTAACGACGTACCATAAGCATAATAAACAATTACTTGCATATAGACTGAAAAGATAATATTTTTCTATACATATGTAATATGTACATATGTGCCTATGTACTAACCAGTAAGCATCCTTGCCAGGCTCAAACAGCCTATGTAAAAATGCTAAATATTAGATGAGAAGCAAAAGGATTACTAGGAAATAAAAGAAAGCTAATTGGCTAAACATACCCCTGAGGCCTGCATCATAAGACTCACAATTTTATTGGATAAGTAAAATATCAGACCTTGTTCATTTTGAGCTACCTGACAAACTAGCTGCAGTTCTAGACAATAATCACTGTCTTTAAAACTAATGGTTTTGATACAGGTTCTCTCCTGCAGCAAATTGTTACAGAAATTGAAACTGTTAAGCAGCTAGTCAGATTTTCTGATTCTGAGGAACTTATTTGCTGCTTTGGCCCAGACATAAGCAAAAACACGCAAGGAGCTGCTTTAATTTATGCCACTGTCAGACTCTCACGGTCTCTCTACCACTGGAGTTCCTCTCTGCCACAACCTTTCATGCTCTGACTAGGGATTTCCCATGCAAAAATATACATATGTGCAATGCACAGATGGTTTGCATATGCGCAGTAGGCTTAACATAGCTGAATTACTGTGTATGCACGGACCATCTGTGCAGCACATGTGCAGCAGGTCTGATGTGTACTGGACACATTGGACTTACTGTGCATGTGCTACACAGTTAATCTGCACACACACAGTAGCCACAGCTCTGACTGAGTTGCCAGACATCCAGATGGCCAGAGTCCTTAAATCCCTTCCAGAGAAAAAATGAAGATGGAATAAAGATGTTTGGTTTTGTTTGGGTTTTTTTCCTGGTGTATAACATAGCTTGTCCTTTATCCTCAAATGTAGGAACATATTAAAGTGGATACACCACCTCATCACATTTTAAGTTTAAAAACAGAGAGAGAGCAAATCCCTCTGGTCATGCATGTCCAAAAACAACTATAGAAAACAAAACAGAGCCGTGATAAAGATTCTTCTCTGTAAACTTTTACAGAACAAGCAAATCCATAACAACTACACAGGCTTCTCTTAAAGAGGACTGGCAGCCACTTCAGATTTTCTGACTACAAAAAACTTTTCAATCTGGAAATATTTAAATTATTCAGGTTAATGCTCAGAAAACTCAGCAACCCAGATCAATCACAAGTCACAGTCTCAGGAAGAGAGTTAGTTGTCTTGGGCCTTGCCTTTTGGTTGGTTGAGATTCAGTGTCTTAAAGAGCACATGCTGTTTGCTTTCCCATCATTAAGACTGTGAGCTAATAACACTGTCACTAATGTTTTTGACAAATTCCCCATCAATAACACTTCCCTAAACCTAAGATGCACTTAAACATGAAAAACACTTATTAGACCCACCAGTATTTTGACAATTGCTAAGCACACTGGTAGTTCCAATGTATGGAGAATTTATCTATATTTACTTACTGGGAAGAAGTCTGAAAACACTCTGCATCTGTGGCTGGCATCCAGCTTTTGTTTGCATGATCTGACAATGCACGCAGGAGTCTGCTCTGTTTCTTCTGCACTCTGGGGAAAGGCCTCTCTTGCCTTCATTTGCACACTCAGGCTGTCAAACTCCCAAAAGTGGCAGCATAGAGATGTTCTTCCTAAACATTATCTTCAGCAGAAAATTCTGCTTACAAACACCGGGCCCAAATCACCCTCTCCATAAATTAAGGGACCATGAAAATATAAGACATGAAACAGAAGTCTGAGGCATTCAAATTTGCATTCATATTACGTGACCCAAAACTACAAGAACATACAGCTTTTAGATAAACAAAAAATCACATTATTTTTTCTCTCATCTCATGTTTCTGCCTTGCAGACATCATCAAGGTCTGCTTGTTGTGTTCTCAAGAGGAAAATATATTAGGTGCTTTACCCATAGGCACCAAGTTGTGAGGTGCACCAATGCCTTCTCTACTCCATTCTGAACCAGTGCCATCCACACAAACCTTCCCAGCCTAACCCTGAGCATCTTAAGTTTGCCAGCCTGTCTCTAGGAACCCAAAGAGGACAGAATGCCTGAATGAGGCCTGATGAGTGCTCAGCAGAGGGGATCACCCTTGAACCTTCTGGGAATAAGAGAAAATAGGAGAAGACTCATCAGAGCAAGCTCTTGTGTGGCACTGGGCTGGGCAGCGCTGTGGTCCCAGGCTCCTATTCTTGCCATGGGCTTTGTAGCCACCAACATGGATGGCGCCTGCGTGGGCACCTGGGGGTTTCCTCACCCATGTGGCCACATCATGGCAGAGTTCCGCACCCTGGGATTCACTTACACAATCCCTGAGATGACAGGTAAACCAGGAATAATGAAAGATGGGGCAGGGGCAGAGGGGGGAGAGAACAGCTGGGGGATCAGAGCACATCTGCTGCTTCCACTTAACAAACAGTAAGTTTAACACTAACAAGTTGCAAGGAGCGAAACATTCCATCACAGACAGCTGCTCTGCAGGTACTCAGCACTACATTCACCCCTGTATCACTGTGAATGGGAAGGACTCAGCTCCAGCACCGCACATCTGTGGATGTCCCAAGATGAAGACCGAGGTCACCCTGAGTACCATTTCTCCAGCCTTTCTTGCAGGTGAGACAAGCACACCTTACTCATGAGGACACAAAACCTGTCCAGAACAAAATCTCTCCACTGCTGCCTCAGCACTGTTCCCACAGAGCACAGCATCACTGACCTCATCTATGAATACAGGTAGGACGAGATTTCTTTTGTAGATTAAAAAAAAAACAAAAAAAAAAACAGGTATAAAATTTTCTTGCACCACAAAGGACTGAATATCCAGTCTATTAACCAAAGCTTCATTTGCCTTTGTCCCTCCACTGCAATAGCAACTTTTAACAAATACTTTCCTGTTCTAACTTTGTGTTCTCCTGTAATCTTTTTAACTCACTTCGATTTCATGTAAGTTTAGTTAAAAGACTTCCCACTAACCACAGGCATTTCAAAATGAAGAGAAGGGCACCTGAAGCCCTGAAAAGGAAGATGTGTGATCGGGGTTGGACTGAGAGGAGCCTCAGGCAATCAAGGTCCCCGCAGCTCCTCCTCAGCAGGAAAACAGGAACGGAAAACAAAGTGTAAAAGCTCGCGAATTGGGATAACGACGCGTGAAACGGATTCGGCTGGAGGAAATGAGTGTAATTTACTGCTATTTATTCATATAGTGAGAAAATTAAACCCCAATACCACCCACCCACTGCTCCCCTTTCGCAGTCGGAGCTGCCTCCCATGGCTGCCGGCCCCTGCCCAGAGCCGCGCT